TTAGATCGTCACAATCTTCCCTCCTTAAGAAATTTCGTCCCCGAAATTTGCATCCGTTCCAACGAAATAGCAAGAACCTTATTCTCCCCAATTCTTAACAACCCCCAGTCCAAAAATAAAACATGAGAGAACCCATATGTTTCCACCAGACCTTAACAACTTCCAATTACACCTTACCTCAATTCTAAACCAAAAAATACAAAATTTCACAATCTCCCTTCCTTAAGAAATTTCATCCTCGAAATGAAGAAAACCAACAAAATGAAACTCAAACATGAACGGAAACACGCCCTTTAATGTTCAAAACTAGATCCACACTCGGAATAGATTCTCAATTTCAAGGAAAGAAATCACCCTTAAACTAACACCAAGTCAACAAGCAAAACAAATAACACATTGCATTATATGATCCAATACCACAATTCTCAATTGCATTTCAATTAGCGGCATTATCAATTTTTTTATTCCATTTAACACTTAAAAGTAGAACAGTGAAAATCATTCATTAACATATTCAGATTAAGTTTTGAACATTTAGTTCAACCGTGCCTTCCCAGGCCACGCACAAGGAAAATAGATTTTCGTTTTCCACATTGATCTCAACATTTAGTTTAACATTTCAAACATTTCCAAAATTCAATTAAACTCATATATATATATATAATTCAATACCTCAATTTCATGATTGTACTTTCAATTTGGGAAAAATCATTAATTATCAGCATGAATTAACCTGCAGTTTTCAAGAAAAATCAAGAATTTCAAGAAAATTGAAACTTCTCACACCACTACTTTTAATTCCAATTACCCCATTGATTATACATCTAAGGTTCATAATTGTAACGCCCTGAAAATTAACCCTGTTATAACATTGGTAACATAATCATAAAATCCCAAAATGGGTCATCTTTCCCATTGAACTGAGACTTAAGTAATTACAATTCAAATATTACATTTCCACAGTGCTCAGGGTCCTGTCCTAGTTCAATGACCTAGATAACTTAACAAAACAGGAGCCCTCAAGGCGTACATTAATATAGAATTACAAACAAAAGTTCCATTACAAAATCCCCAAAAATTACGCACAGACACTAGATGTTCTTGACTTCACTTCACTCCCCAAAGTAAGCTATATCTAGCATTTGAACCGGTGCTTCATCGAAGCAGACCTTCCTCAATCCATGAAAAATAAGTTAGGGTTGACCGAGATGCCCAGTAGGAATACATTTATCCAGATATCTACTTCCTTGAACAAAATATGGTATCCATGTGAAATAACAACCCAAACAAAGGTATTTCAGCAACCATGCATATATTTATAGTCTATATCTCACAAGAGTCCTTATAATTTAATTTAGATAAATTTATGTTATGATAACTACTTGCATGAAGAAACATTCATAACCAAGAAATCAGTTTACATGCATCCCATCACATGAGCTCAATTGGGAACAACTGTTTCTTTTAATACACAACCCCCACATTCGTCGGCTACTATACGGCGGGGGGTGGGCACCTAAGAAAATCATCCGTTTTTCCACTTTCGCCGGCTACTATACGGTGGGACTGTGTGGACACCCAAAAATGGTTTCCCACATTCATCCAGCGATCAGCCTAGACAGGGCAATTGGGCACCTTTTAAAACTCCCCGCGTGGGTACAACACAACACCACTTTTATACATTACCAACCCACACATGGACTTATGCATACTCAAACATTAAAACACATGTCAATCCCACAATCAACATCATGTACCATCATCACATATAAACATCACATAAAACTCAAAGGACAATAGCATTCAAGCTGTCATTACTTTAATTACATCGACGCCCACATGTTATCTCCTCACCAAAGTTATGAATTACTTGAGTATTTCACTAACTAGGCAATTTTCTAACCAATGGGGAACATAGGGTTTCTCTAAATTTTGGGGGTTTCTTCCCCTAGTCACAAATCTGGTTCTTTAACTATATCTTCACTTATATTAGAGAGAGAAATTTAGGAATTTCAAACAAAATGTTGAGTGAAAGAGTAATTATAGGGAAAGTGGGTTTTATTCAATCAAAACTTCAATTAGGGTTTCAATCACACATAATACCATGAAATTTCCTCAAAAATGAAGAGATACAAGAATGAAGATATCCCTACCTCAACTATCAAGCTCCAAATTCGAACTCCTTCATGAACCCATTGCAAATCCGCAATCCAATCAGAAGATAATGCTATCCTTCAAGTGTTCTTCATCCCCAACTAACAAATTGGGGCGGATCTCAATGGTATGGAAGCTATTTGTAAATGGAGATCTAGAGTTTCCAAGAGAGGAGAGAGAGAGAGGGGAGAGAGAGAGAGGAGATCAAGCAAAGAGAAAGGGAAGTGTGAAAAAGATCTAAAGTTGCTGTGTTAAAAAGTTGTCATCGCGCTCCCCGCTAGAGCGTGCCTTCCCATGCTCGAGCGTCTAGACACGATCAAGAAGGCCCGCTCGAGCGACGACTTCCCCGCCCGAGCGTAGAAAGAGGGGTCTCAGAGGTTTTACAGTGCTACAATGTAATTATTGGGGGCTAGCATTTAACGCTTGAGCGGACACGCCTGCAACGAAACAAAATACTGAGGGTAATAATTCTACGCTCGAGCGGCGGTTTCCCTGCTCGAGCGGACCTGGAAACAAATTGTCACAATTTTCCCCCCTTAAGGAATTTCGCCCCCAAAATTGTTTCCTATCTTCCACCTGTTATAACTAATGACAATATAAATAAAATAGGTATAAGCACACAAATATTCTAGTTTTCTATCATTTTTATTGCACCATTCATTAGTCTTTACGCTTCTCACCAATAATCAATATGCATGTATATATCTATACATATGTTTACTTGAACACAAGGCCAATAGTAGTGATAGTGATATAGCCACAAGAATTCGTTTACTTTTGCTACAACCACAAGTCAAAGTCAAACATCCACTACAACATTCAGTTTAAACATCCCATTTAGACACATTACTACTTCAAATTTAGAATAAAAAAGAAGGAACATTAAGAGTTTGTGGCTTAAGATTAACCTCACTAGTTACTTAAGAAATGTAAGAAATTTAATACATTATGGATTTGAGAATAGTTCGGGGTATCTTTCGCGGACTTTGGCTTCTCGCTCCCATGTTGCTTCTTCCACACCATGATGATACCACAACACTTTAACTAACGGAATCGTCTTACCTCTCAACACTTGCTCCCTTGTATCAAGAATTTGGATTGGCCTCTCTTCATATGATACATTATCGTTTACTTCTATTTCTGTCCAATCTAACACATGGGAGGGGTCGGGTTCATACTTACGGAGCATGGACACATGGAATACGTTATGGACTCTTGAGAGTTGAGGTGGTAATGCAAGACGGTACGCCACTTCCCCAACTCGTTCAATGACGTCAAAGGGACCAATAAACCTTGGTGATAATTTTCCACTTCGGCCAAACCTCATCAGCCCTTTTCTAGGGGAGATCTTCAGAAACACATGATCGCCGATCTCAAAGGATAAGGGTCGTCTCCTTCTGTCTGCATAATTCTTTTGTCAGCTTTCAGCAGTGATTAGCCTTTTCCGAATAAGGGCTATTTTCTCAATGGTCTCACGAACTAGATCTGGGCCTAACAGAGATGAATCGCCCACTTCAATCCAACATACCGGTGATCTACATGGATGTCCGTACAATGCTTCGAAGGGTGCCATTCCAATACTTGCTTGGAAGCTGTTATTATATGCAAATTCAACCAGGGGTAAATGCTTCTCCCACGATCCTTTAAAATCTAACACGCAAGCCCTTCACATATCTTCTAAAATTTGGATCACACGTTCGGATTGTCCATCAGTTTGGGGGTGATATGCGGTACTAAAGTTCAGTTGAGTTCCTAAGGCGCTTTGAAGACTTTGCCACAACCTGGTTGTAACACGAGGGTCTCTATCAGACACTAAACTGATTGGTACTCCGTGGAGGTGGATGATCTCATGAACATAAAGTTCAGCTAAGAATTCCACAGAATCCCCCATACTCATGACGAGGAAATGAGCCGACTTAGTAAGTCTGTCAACAATCACCCATACTGCATCGTTACTCCTCTGAGTTTTAGGGAGACCAAAAACGAAATCCATGTTGACGTATTCCCACTTCCATTCAGCAACTGGAAAGGGTTGCAATAGTCTTGCCGGCCTTTGATATTTCGCCTTAACTTGTTGACATGTCAAACACTTGGATACAAAAGAGGCTACGTCCTTCTTCATGCCCCTCCACCAGAATTGACGGCTTAGATCACGATACATTTTTGTGCCCCCCGGGTGCACAGCGAGGCGAGAATGATGAAAGTCTTTCAAAACTTTGTTCCTCATAGATTTAGGCACGAACAATCGATCAAGGTAACGAACACTAGAGTTTGTATGAACATTTAGACCTCTCTCTTCCTTTCCAAGTTGGATTCTCCCTTTAATGGTTTCCACTTGTAGATCACCCAATTGAGCTTCAGTTACTTTTGCAACAAGAGTCGGTTGTGCGATAGTGGCAAAGAGGGTTGCTTGCTCTAAAGATTCACTGAGCCACAGAGAATACTCATTGACATCTCCTAACATCTTTCATTCGTTCATTGCAAAGTTAGCTATTGTACTCATCGACTTTCTACTCAAAGCATCTGCCACCATATTAGCCTTACTAGGATGGTAGTGTATCTCAAAATCGTAGTCTTCTAAGAACTCCATCCACCTTCGTTGCCGTAGGTTCAAGTCTTTTTGGGAAAACAGGTATTTGAGGCTTTTGTGTTCAGAAAAGACTTCAAATTTCTCACCGTAGAGGTAGTGTCTCCACAACTTCAAGGCAAAAACAACGGTGGCGAGTTCTAAATCGTGAGTAGGGTAGTTTCCTTCATGAGCCATATGCTACCACCCTTCCTTCTCGCATTAAAAAACATTCCAATCCCTCCCTAGAGGCATCGCAATACACTGTATAACCTAATCCTCATTCCGGAATGATAAGGATGGGTGCGGTGGTCAATCTAAACTTCAGTTCTTGGAAAGAGTTTTCACATGTTTCACTCCAAACAAACTTTACTCCCTTACGGGTTAACCTAGTCAACGGTGATGCTAAAGAAGAGAAGTTCTTCACAAAACGGAGATAATAACCAGCCAAACCCCAAAAGCTTCGAATTTCTGAGACATTCTTAGGTTGCTCCCAATTTAACACAACTTCTATTTTTGAGGAATCCACTATTTGCCCATCCCCTAAAACTACATGGCCTAAGAACCTTGCTTTTGTAAGCCAAAATTCACATTTTTCATACTTAGCATAAAGCTGGTGCTCCGTAAGAAGCTGCAAAATCATACGAAGGTTCCTTTCATGCTCTTCTTCGGAGGGTGAATAGATAAGAATATCATCTACAAAGACCACCACAAATGTATCAAGGAATTCTCTAAAGATTCGGTTCATTAGGTCCATGAATGTAGCTGGGGCGTTGGTCAGCCCAAAAGGCATAACCAAGAACTCGTAATGACCATACCAGGTACGAAAGGCGGTTTTGGGAATATCCTCTTCTCTAACTCGAATTTGCTGATAACCCGACCTCAAATCTATTTTGGAGAAACAACGAGAGCCCCTTAAGTTGGTCAAAAAGGTCATCTATTCTTGGTAAGGGGTATTTATTCTTAACCGTAGCTTGGTTCAATTTCCGGTAATCTATACACAACCTTAAGGACCCATCATTCTTCTTGGCAAACAATGCTGAGGCTCCCCAAGGTGACGTGTTGGGGCATATGAAGCCCTTACGAAGCAACTCCTGCAGCTGTTCTTTCAAAACCACTAATTCAGTCGGAGCAAACTTATACGGTGACAATGAGATATGTGCCGTACCCGGAAGCAAGTCTATGGTGAACTCAATCTCCCTATGAGGTGGTAACTCTGTGAGATCTTCAGGAAAGACATCGAGATATTCACTCACTACTTTTGGGAATTCATCTCGGACCACATCACTTCCATCTTCCCACAAGCTTGCTAAAAGAAAATTAATTTGATCTCGGCCACAAGGATAGTGTGACAAGGGTAACAATCTATCATACCTATCCCCCAGTAATGTAAAACAATCACCACTTATAGTACACACTGTGACCCTCCCCCGGTAACAATCTATTGTTGCCCGATACGCGAACAACCAATCCATTCCGAGAATCACATCAAAACCCACCATTTCAAACATTATGAAATTAAAAGGAAGTTGTCGACCTGCTACCTCAATTACACACCCCTGGCATTCCCGGGTTAGATTGACCTTTCTCCTTACTGGTGATTCCACTGTGAGTGGGACTTGTAGTTGTCTACTCTCTAATTTCAACAATAATGCAAATGATGTGGCAATAAAAGAATGTGAAGCCCCAGCATCTATTAACACCTTAGCCCATGTATTGAAGATGAGAAATGTACCTCGCACCACTGATGACCCCGTAGCTTGCTCAGAAGCTGTAACTGCATACACCCTTCCTTGTGATCTCTGCTCCCCTACATCACCCCTCTGAACATAAGTTTGTTGTGCAGACTGAGCATATGAGGCTCCCTGAACTGTCCTGGATGCTTGCCCTGATTGAGTCGGCTGATATGATTGTCTCTACCCTTGACTCATCTGTGAGCCCTCTGGCTGTCTAGACCCTGCCATCTCCAAAACTCCCGCTTTCTGTGGACAAAACTTCTTCAAATGTCCAGGTTGGCCACATTCATAACAAGATTGTTGCTGATTTCTACTTTGAGGTGGACCTTGAGAACGCATCGGCTGGGGCCGTGCTCCACCTATCTGCCCACACTCCGCAGCTTTGTGACCCATCTGGCCACACCTATAACATGCACCGGTAACTCGGGGCATGTTTCCTGAACTCCCACCCGACACATGGCTAGAAGACTTAGTTTGTTACGGGGGTGATTGCCACGATGATGATGAACCCCTAGGCCTCTTAGAAGAGCACGTGTCACTTCCAGTGTCAGACTGACTTGTTCTCTTTGATCTTTGTCTTGCCTCTTCAACCTCTATTGTGATTTTTACACGAGCTGCAGCTTCGACTAAGTGGTCATAGTCACGGATCATGTTACCAACCACCTTCATCAAGATCTTCGGTCTCAACCTTTTCTCAAATTCAAGACACTTCCTTTCCTCCATAGATACCAATTCGGGTGCAAAACGAGATAGGCTAGTGAATTTAGTTTCATACTCCGCCACTGGTGTTCATCACTTCAAGTATGAAACGCCCCTCATTTCTCGTGTTTGGATTAACACCCAATCCAAACACAATGCAACACAACAACATTCCAAACACAATGCGATGTAACAACATGCAAACAACATGAGCATGGCAAATTAGAGTCCTTAAGCATTGAAACTAATGAAGTACACCACACAAGGGCTATGTAATGCAATGCTCAATGGACCAAACCAGCCCCAAACTGACCTCATGCATGCCAAAACAAGCTGAAAAGGGAGTCCAAAAGCTTATACAAGCATGCATACACATTGGCTCACAAACAAGGCATGAAGACACAACTCTCAAACACATTGAAAGAGTGGAAAAAGTGAGAGTGTGGCAATGAAATATGCTCTGAAATCGTGTAAGAAATGATGTCAAATCATCCAAACAACACAAGCATAGCATTCTAAGGACCTTGAATCATTAGGCTAGTCAAAGCTATTGCACTACAACCATGCATGACAAATCCCATATGACCCAAACTACTCAAAACAGAGTTGAGGCATGCTAAATCAAGGCCAAAGCATGCTAAAATACAGACTCAAAAGGGAAGGAAAGCATGCTCATTCATTGGCTCACAAACAAGGCAAAATGCATAACCCTCAAGAGCAATGAAAGAGTGATAAACATGGAAGTATAGCAAAGACATAAGCTCTGAAATTACATTCCAAATGATGCCAAATCATGCACACATCACAAATGAGGCATGCTAGGAGGCTCAAAGCTTAAGGCTAGCAAAGGCACTTGCACTATAGCCATATCAAGCAAGCCCCAAAGGGCCAAGATGACTCAAAACAGTCCCAAGGCAGGTCAAAACAATGCTAGAAACATGTTTGAACATAGCCAACATATGCTAGAATGAGAGGCATAAAACATGACATATGCAAGGCCAATGAGCATGATTACACTACAAGTGTAAGAAGCAAATGAGGGATGCTCTAACCAACCAAAAACAGAGTTGTATCATGGCAAAATAAGACCAAAAACACACTGAGATGGTAGCCCAAAAAGCTTAGGCAAGCATGCACGCCAATTGGCTCATGATTGAGGCATAAAGCATAACCCTCCAAAGCATTGAAAGAGTGAAACATGTGAGGGTATGACAGTGAAATATGCTCTGAAATCATATATCAAATGATGCTAAATCATGCAAATAGCCCAAGCAATGCATGCTAGTGGACTCAAAGCATAAAGCTAGTGGAGGGGCTTTACACTATGGCTATACAAAGCGAAGCATGCATGATAAAAAAAACTTAAAAAAGAGCTTAAGCATGGCAAAACATGAGTAAAAGCTTGCTGGAGTGGAGCCAAAAACATGCTACACTATGGCTATACAAAGCAAGGCATGCATGACCAGAGACACTTAAAACAAAGCTTAAGCATGTCAAAACATGAGTAAAAGCTTGCTAGAGTGGAGGCAAAAACATGCTAGAATGATGGTCCAAGGCATGATGTATGTTAAGACTATAGGGGGGATTTCACTACAAGGGTATGAAGCATGCAAGAGGCAATCAAACCGACCCAAAACAGAGCTAAGGCATGCTAAAATAACACCAAAAACATGCTGAGATAGACCAAAATAGGCTAGCATGATGGATCAAAGCATTGAATACACAAGGCCAAATGGCAAGATTACACTACAAGTGTAAAAAGCATGCATGAGGTAACCAAACCAAGCCCAAATAGAGCTATGCCATGCTGAAATAAGGCCAAAAATAGGCTGAGAACAAGCCAACACTTACTAGAAAAACAAGCTCAAACATGAGGCCATCAACACAAGCAACCAAGACACAAGGAGAGGGGATGACCCCCTCCTATTTGGGGCCTCAAAACACACTTTCCACCACTGAAATTCCTCTGGAATTCAGTGGTTAAAAGGCTAAGAGAAGGTGATCTCGAAGGCCTAAAGAGATGGCACAAAACAAAGCAAAATAAGGCACAAAAATGGGTAAACCACCCCCAACACCAAAGAGGCCTCAAACAAACACTTTAAGCACTTGAAAATAGAACTTTTTACAGTTGAAAGTTAAGCCAAAAGAAGCATGCAAAGATGGCTAAATAAGCAACTACAACAAAGCTTTAAAGAGGATAAAGACTCACCCTTGAAGAACAACTTTAGAACAACAACTTCAGAAGCAAAAACCAAGCCAAAACCCCTCCAATACAACCTCCAAGAACCTCAGCTCAAGAGTGAAGGTGTTTCACTACGTGTTTGTGTGCAAAAGTGTGAAGAAATAGCACTTTTGAGCACAAAATGGAACAACTATAGAGAGAGATGGAGAAATCAAGATAGAGATAGATATGTATAGCCCTAAGCAATTTTTCTGAACCTCTGGAAAGGGAGAGGGAGCCTCCCTCTTATCGAATTCCAAGCCTCAAGCTTGTTGAACAAGCTAGAGGCTTAGTGCAATCCCTCCATACACGTGTATGGAGGATGTATTCTGTGCTCACCAGCTAGCACAGCTAGCAAGGAAAATATCTGTAGAAAATGCAGGGAAGGCCGCCGACCAGTTAAAGTGGTCGACCGACCACTCCCACTAGTCGACCGACCACAAAAGGTGGTCTACAGAGAAGAAAAGTGGTCGGCAATGGGGAGAGAGGGTCTGCACAGAGAGTAAAAAGTGGTGGCAAGCTGCCGACCACCTTAGGTGGTCCACAGACCACCCACTCTAGCTGGCCGACCACCAAAAGTGGTCTACAAGGGAAAAAACTAGTCTACACCCCTGTTCCACTCTCCAGGCAAAGGAAAACAAGGTTTGGTTCAAAAACAAACCAAAAAGGAAGCAAGACAAGAGTCCACAAGGCGAGGCACTCAGTCGGAAGCCGAGAAAACTAGTCTACCGGTACAAAAGGTGGCCTATGAGAGAGAAAGGTAGTCTACGGCTACAAAAGTGGCCTACAGGCTTCCATTTCCCTCTAGGCACAGGAAACAAGGCATGGTCCAAAAACCAGGCCAAGAGGAGAAAGTTAAGAGGTCCCGAGACAAGACGCTCAGCCGAAGGCTCCGGAAACTCAAAACGAGCACAAACATGCACAATCATCGAGCGCTCAATCGATGACGTCTGAGTCTTAAGGTCGGTCAAAAATGGGGTGTCTACAGCAAACCATACTAACTCTCTCCCTAATCATAACATCTACCTATTCCATAGTCATACCAGTTAAATTTCCTACATTTAATATGGCTACCCTCAACCTATAATCTTGGACTAGCTTCTTTATCCAAGCAAATAACACTAAATTGTAACCAAACATTAGAATTTTAGGGTTCGTTTAGGAAAAACTTTTTTAGCCTAGCTTTTTGGCTAATTTAGTCTAGCTAAATTAGTTATGTTTGGAAATAATTTTTTAGCTTTTTTGTAAAGAAAAAGTGAAATGATTATGATTTAGATGTGATATTTTGTCTTATTAGCTTATTTAGCCTATTTTGTCTTTTGTGTTTTTTTAGTCCCAATCTAAACCCAACTCACTTGCCAAAATAGTCACATAGATTAATAATTACAATTCTACACATCGAACAAGCCGTAGATGCTTTGATGCCTTCGTATTCTTCTGAAAATATAAAATAACCTTTATAATCATTACCAAATATCACTTTACTTCCTCATTTATGAATTCATACATTTTGATTACTTCAATTATGAAAATATATAACATTTACTTTCTTTAGACTATCTCCCAAAAAGATGTATTTATACGATTTTCCAAAATTAATGAGATCAAAATATTTAAATTTGTAAACAAAAAAAGTAAAATAATATTCTCTAACAATTGAAGGGTGTTAGTGTAATTACTTCTAATAAAATTCCATGCCATCCAAATGATAAATGCTAACACAGCAGCCTACAATGAAAAGATGGCAATCAATGGTGGTCGATCATCATTAGAGGTGCAACTCTAGTGGCTTGAGGTGCTGCATAGGTTGAGTTCGAGTTATGTTGAAAATTGTTCAAGTCCATTCAAGCTTAATTTGTAATTTGATATCTCTACTCAAGTCTGACTTGGGCATAAGTCTGAATGGCTCGAATTGTCAGAATTTTACACAAATTTGAGTTGTTTATTATTATTAGTATATTGTGTATGTGCAGCTAGGCTAATTAATGTATTAAAGTTAGACCTTATTAATATTTTTTAAAATCATTAATAATATAAAAATAAATAATTTATATGAAAAGAGATAGAGATAAGAATTGAAGAACTATTGTGTCAAAAATTTGTTTTAGAGGAGAACAAAATAAATATAGCAAATAATAAATATATATCTTTTAGCAAAAGTGTAATTTTAACGTATAATTTAAGGGAGGAAAAAAACAATATTGAGAAATCATTGAATTTATATTAATCAATAATGAAATTCATAGGATTATGTACGATTATAAAATAATTTGGTTATTTCATCTTGAAGTATCTTAAATTTGATGAAAAAGTACTCAAAAATTATCTTCAATCAGGAGAAATCCGTGTCACAACATAGATACTGTGACAACACCCACTTCATGTCCCTTTCACTCAAGCAAAACTCATCTTGTGAGAGCAGGGTGCTTACGAATGTTTAATTAATTTAAATTTTTTAAGACTCTCATCGTATAATTACAAATATTTAAATGATTTAATTTTTTATATATAATATATTTGACAAATTTTATAATACAAATGATATATATTATCAAAAGGGCAGAGCTTCTCTCCGATTTATTTTCTAAACTGAACGGTACTATTAAACCCATGAGGCCCGTCATGGGACCTATTTTGATCATTCGAAACGATTAATATACAGAACTCGTCGAGTACTTTCACTCTACAAAAAATTATATTGATCGGATATCAGTAACTCCTTGATTAGATCATATTTTTGTCAGCGATAGACATAATTTAAAAAATAAATTATTGAGAAAAATATGTGCTGATAAAGGATCTA